AACGGAAGCTGCCTTATTCTCTCTGGCAAAAGGTGGAATCTGACCTAAGCTATATCAATCAGATATCGTATCTGAGAAATAGAAATTTTGCATGGAATGACACAACAAAGTGACATATGGGTTAGAGAGTCCAGGGTTGGAATCATCAATCTACCCCTTAGTAGCTCTTTGAATGTGGTCAAGTCCTTAACTTCTCTAAGCCTTTTTTGTTTTGTTTTCATTTGAAAAATGGCACTGATAATGGTTTGCGGTGTATCTGTGTGCCTTTGAATTTAATTAGTAGTGCATAAAAATACGTATACTCTGCCGGGTGTGGTGGTTTATGCCGGTAAATCCTAGCACTTTGGGATGCCAAGGTGGGTGGATCACAAGGTCAGGAGTTTGAGACCAGTCTGGCTAATACAGTGAAACCCTCTCTCTACTAAAAATACAAAAAATTAGCCAGGTGTGGTGGTGTGCGCCTGTAATCCCAGCTACTCAGGAGGCTGAGGCAGGAGAATCATGTGAACCTGGGAGGTGGAGGTTGCAGTGAGCCGAGACCACACTATTGCACTCCAGCCTGGGCGACAGAGCGAGACTGTGTCTGAAACAAACAAACAAACAACCAAAACTGTACTAAATAAATATTAGTTCTTATTAATGACGTGATCACACTAGTCGATTATTTAATGAATGGACCACACAGGAGCAAACCTGAAGGAAAGAAGCCACAAGGTTGATGAATCTGTTGCATCTATGCTATTGAGAATTCTCAGAGGCCTCAGGTGGTAGAAGAGAGAGGTGCAGGAGGACAGGATGGAAGAACAATTTAGGATGTAAGAAAGAGAACTTAACAGTATTTAGTTGACTCCCTTGACTCAGAGGATGAAACACAGGGAGAAGCTTTGATATTGCTGATAGGAAGGAGCATCCTAATTCTTGATTGGCCCCAATTCTGCTGGAGACAGAACTCTGGCCAAGGCAAGCTAGGTAACAAATATGTCATTTGAGTTGTTATTTGAAAATCCTCAAAGCCCAGCTTTTTCCCAGAATAGCATTCACTTTGATTTACAACACAGTGACCCATGCTAAATACTGCAAGTGGTGGTTCTTTGAAAATAACAGACAAAATATTCCCCATATGACTTTTTCTTTTATAGATAGAATAGGATATTGGTAGACAGTACACCGATAATGTGAAATATTGATTGCTTCTGTTGAAACTGTAATGGGATAAGGAAACATGTAATCATGGAGAATTTCTATGAAATAATCCCATACTGTAAATTGTATAGGTACAGGCTGCTGAATAAAGTTTTAAAAGTGAAGAATAGTCTGAGATTGCTTATGACATCAGGACTTTTTCCTTTTCCTCAAACAATTTTCTCGAATATTGATGTTATTGCATAAAAAGTAACTGGAAAAAAGGCATAATTGTAATTTGGAGATATAATTTTAATAACTAGATAAGAAATATAGAAGAAATATAGGAGATTTTTATTGGTTAAACTCTAAGTCACACAGGACAATGCTGGAGAGAAGCAGATATTTTAAAAATTGGACTCAAGAGGCACATATATTCACATCTTTACTCTTAAACCTGTCTGAAAAACAGAGAAATAGCATTCTTAATATTATGTTGGTCCAATGAGGATGAGAAGGTATTTTGACCCAAACATATGGATGCAGGCTTCAAGGACACAGTGAATTATACCATCTGAAGAAACGGGAAACAAAAAGCTGTGTGGCTGGGAATCGGCAGTTTGTAACAACAGCTGTTGCTGTGGGCAGCAGTCTAATGGGGAAACTACTCAGCAGCAAGCCTTGCACACAGACAAAACAAAATCCACACCTGTGGTTGTTTACAAAGGGCAGAAGGGGCCACGGAAGACACATCATTAATATGGTGGAGAGCACCATTAGCGGTTCTAGCAAAATAAAAAAGAACATGACATACTTTGAAATTCAGAGCCTGACATTAACAAGCTACAGTTTTGACAAATCGTAGAAAGAGATGGTCTCTACAATTTTGAATCTCCAGCACATTTCACAATGCCTGCCTGGCACATACTATGTACTAGGTAAATGTTTGTGGAATTGAAGTCAACATATTTATGTCATATGCACAAATGCTTATACCTCGCTCCAAAAAGGGATAGGAAGGTATTTTGTGGCTATAAGGGAAGAATTGATAAAAACACAAATGTTGATCATGGAGATTTGGAGGAGAAAGACCTCCTGGATTTAAAGCCTGACTCCTTAACTATATGACTTAGATAAGTTATTTTTCCTCTTGGAACTCTTAATTTTTGTAAAGTGTTCATAATGATGCTTATCTACTGGAATTGTTAAAAAGATTGGATGCATTTTGTAGACAAAGGATCTTGCAAAAGGTCTAGCACGTAGAAGAGTCTCCGTAAGATTAGGTCCTCTTCTTTACATGCTTCAATTGTGTGTCACTCTTTTTTACCTTTATTAGATTAGTCTAAAGCAGGAGTCAGCAAACCATCCCTCTCTGTCCAATTTCAGCCTATTTTGGAAGTAAAATTTTATTGTAACACTGGCATGTCCATGTGTTTATGTGTTGTCTGTGGCAGCTTTATGTTTATAACAGTGGAGTTGAGTAGTTGCAGCAGCATCCTTACGGCTTGCAAAGCCTAAAATACTGACTCTCTGGGCCTCTACAGCGCCCTGGTCTAACGTAAACTTTTTATTAGAAGATTCAACTGCTCTCATTTTTGTCTTTTTCTTCTTTTGATTTTTTTTTTCAAATGCATACTTTTCTGTTTTTAATTTGTGTGTCTCCAAAAACAAGAACCTTTTATGTTTGGCAGCTTCACGACTAAGCTTTAAATCCTGTATGTAATTTGTTACCCAGTTCCTCTGCTCATCCATCCATTCATTCAAAAAATATTTGTTGAGGATTTGCAAGGGGCTGGAAACAGAGTGGTGAACCTTGAAAGTGAGGCCGCTGCTCTTGGGGAGCTCAGTGATAGCTCTTCCCATATATGTAAATAAACATGGAAACGGAAGTGTGGATAAACCAACTTCTGAGCAAATTAACATGTATATGATTTAAAAGTAGGATGATTTGCAAGAGAGGAGCTGGTGAAGGTGTGTTATCAAGATCGGCCTAGGATGATCAGGGAAGCCCTTCCTAGGTGGGTGACATGTGAGCAGAAAGACCTGCCTGAAGAGAAGGGATAAACCAGCAAAGGCCTGGGGGAAGCATTTTAGACAGAGAGACACGTGCTGCAGAGACCATGAGCTGAGAAAGAGCCTGGCATGTTCAGGGGCTGACAGAACACTGGTAATGTCACAGGGTGTGGGGGCACTGGCACAGGTGAGGTCAGAGCATATAAAAAGGGCAGGTTGTAAGGGATTTTGCATCTCACAACATGGTCCACTGGACTGTTCTCCCTTCCACCACCCACCCCTATGCACACATCCAAGCAGTGATAAGTTCTGTCCATTCTACATATTTGATGTCTCTCAGATTCCTACTTTTTCCACTACTTTAACAGGCACCGTCATCTTTTGGCTTATGCTCAATGTTTGCTAGCTGACTTCCCTGTCTCCCAGTGACTTCCTTCCTAACCATCTTCCACAATGCCAAATATGATAGTTCTAATTTACTCACCTGCTTAAAGCCCTTTGCATAGCTCTTGGATGAAGAGCCAAATTCTTAGCTTTGCACAGGCCTTTGTTTCATGCAGTAGCCTCTGCTGGCTCTAGTCTTGTCTTCCTTGGCTCTCTACACTGAAACTTTCATTCGAGCCCTGGGGATGTGGTTCCTGAAACCTTCTTCTACATCTGCTTTCTGACATCCCTCCACCCATCTTCCCATCCTTATATTATTTGGACTATCCCACTTATGCTCAAGTGTTTTTTTCTCTTCTCAGAAGTCTTCATTCCCTCCCCAGGCTGATTTAGACCACTCTGTGATTCTCTGTTACACTCAGAACATAACCCCATCAACACTCCCAAATGCTATAATCTCTTACCCTACCATATTTTTTTCAACAGTCCTTGTTATCACACAACATACAATGCTTATTTGATTACTTCTGTTGTCTTTTGTTTCTCCAACTAGACTAATGGCTTTCTCATAGCAAGGAGTTTGCCTTCTTCAGTGCTAAATCCTGGTTCAATGCTTGGCACAAGAAATTGCCTATCTTAATTTGTCTGTGTGGCTATAACAAAATATCTGAAATGCATAATTTATAAAGAACAGAAATTTATTTCTCACAGTTCTGGAGGCTGGAAGTCCAAGATCAGGGTGGTTGCTTGTGAAGGACACTCTCTGCTTCCAAGATGGCTCCCCTCATGGTGAGGAGGAATGCTATGTCCTCACATGGCAGAAGGCAGAAGGGCAAGACAGCCAAAAAAAAAAGGAAAGGAAAAAGAAAAAAAAACAAACAAAATACAAATCAGGGTCTCACTCTGTCACCAGGCTGGAGTGCAGTTGTAGCATCATAGCTCACTGCAGCCTCCAACTCCTGGACTCAAGCAATCCTCTTGCCTCAGCCTCCCAAATAGCTGGTCTGCAGGCATGTACCACCATGCCTGGCTACCAAACCCCTTTTTTATAAGAAACATTAAAAGGAAAGCATTCTTATGGCCTAACTACCTCTTAACGGCCCACTACTTAATACTATTAAAATACTATTAAAACGCAGGTTGCAACAACTGCATTTTGGAGGGGACACATTCAAAAGGCACCATAGCTCAGTAATTGTTTTTGCTAAATAAGTAGATGGTCTAACCCACCATTATTACCTAGATTACCACAATAGCCCCCACTCCTCTCTTCTTCAGTTTACTCTGTACATGATATTCAGAGGGGAATTTTAAAAATATGTAAATATAGTCCACAACCTAAAAGAATATCAGTGGCCTCA